ATAAATTTAATCATAATAATTCTGTTTACATGGTTTAGTAAAATTCAATTGCTAAAATTGTAAAGAAAGATCTTATTCATTTTGTTTTACATTTTTAATAATAAAGATTATATAGTTTTATTATGCAGATTAGATAGTTTGAACAGCATAACAAACAGTTTTTTAAATAATTATGACAGTTCATTTAGCATTATAGTTTTGCTTCACTGCAAAAAACAAATATTTTACAGCTTTAGTACTAAAGATTGAATTTCAATACGTTTAAATATTGTGTGTCAAACAAGTGTTAATTTAACCTCTAATATATGATACTACTGACTATAAAAGTTAAATAATTAACCTCAAATAATTAAAAAATATAAAGAGTATACGGAACTTTTTAGGCTAACGCTATAAGATCACAAGTCTAGCACCGTCAGCTAGGCCATTAAACCCAGATGTATCGGGCTGTAGACACAGATATTTCCATAATTTTTTTTTCTGATTAACTGACTTATTCAATTGTTAGTTTCTATTTTTTGGAACATTTTATACATCTTTAATAGACTGAAAATTTTTTATTTAATGTATGATGGCTTAAAAAGGTGTACATAAGGTCAAAATATCATTTTGGTGCTTTTTCAAGGAAATCTCAGGAGTTATACATCACACAACTTTTACCGCTCGCGCTTTCTACGAATATTCACCGTTTCCATTAATGAAATCAATTTTTATGATTATACACATAGGTATATTGAAAAAGAGTAGTAAAGCAGGTACCTATAATGTTTTGAGTAAAAACAATTTAAAAATTTAAGTCTGAGAACAAAAACACAGTTTTCGATCGATGCTTCTTGAAAATTATTAGTGTCGCTGTCATGAATCTTGTATCTTCATGAACAGTACCTTTAAAATTGTTAAATATGTGTATAAATATGTCTGTATTTACCTTGTGTAGTAGTATTAAAAAGATCTCAACCCCATTACATTTCAGCATACTAAAGTGAGATAACTTACACAATTTTTAAATAATATAAATGATTGAGAAGCATAACTTGTTGACAGTTTTTAGAACGAGGTTCTTTATGTCGCGTTACTCGGGGGGCTGGAATTTTAAAACCGACAGATTTTTTTTTTTTGAAACGAAAGTGGTTTACCCGGAGTCTCTTCCTCCCAAGTTTCCCCCCCTTAACTCGTCCCCCTCACCTACTGTTCTCTATACACTTCCCCTCTCCCCACTATATATGTATATCTGCCAACCGTGCCATGTTACTCTTCTGCACACCCTTACCCACCATTTCCTCTCACACTCCCAAGCAATTAATTTTTAAACAAATTTTAATTTTATTTTCTCACAATAATTTTTGTTTGACTTTGAAATTTTTTCTTTTACAATTCTATAAAAAAAAAAAATAAAAAAATAAAATAAAAA